ATAACTTATCTTTGGGCACAAACCAACACTTGGCGTTGACAATTAATTCACCCCGGTTCATATTTGTGGATAAATTTCTTATCGCTCTGTTTTAGTGCAAAAGAAAATTTGTTACTACACGGTAACTTTTAAAATTCAACTTGAATCGAGTTTTTGATAAGCCAACATTTTAAAAGAAGTAATACTAATAATACCAAAACCGGCCATGGGCCACTTTTGCTTTTGAATTCGTGAGCTGATCGGTGATCCATACTGAGAAGATAATTAAATTGCTAATACATAATGAATATTGTGTTGGAATATTTTTTGGTTATTATTAGTACGCTTCTTGTTGTTATGTTGATTGACTCATTCTGTAAATGGATTAAAATTTCTGCATGAACGCTTCTAGTTCTACCCAAGTGTGGTCAAGCTGGGCCTAACTTTGTTAAATGAAAGATTACAAAATTCATATTAGATTTAGATATAATATAACGATTATTACAAAGACAGATCTTGTTAAAATACTTGTTTTAACCTTTCCCAGTTGAGAAATAAAAGTTCCACTTAATTACGCCCTTTAAAATCCATCATACTTCCTAGCTACGTTTTTGAATGTTTCTCTGTACAATTAACAGCAACTCCATGTGTAGAAACAGTTACGAATTTTCTGACAGGCCTGATTTTTTAGTCAACCTGTCCTTGCCCTATATAAAATATCATTTCCCTGCCTTTATCATTCCAGGTCGGCACGTGTCCAGTTTTGGTTTTGTTTGGCACGCTCCACTTGGCATTTCCCAGTACACGACATTTATCACTACCTTATTTCATCCACAGTTCAAACAGACCGTGAATCTATCATGAATCTAAACTCTTACATATGATGTCATTGCATCGCTGTGAGGAATTTTAATTAAATCTAAGCCGGCGGACGTTAAGATAAACACCTTGTAGTCTTACAGAAATTATCATTTCAATTTGATAAAACAATTACTTACTGCATCTTGCACTGTACAAGTCGACACCTTTCAAAAATTCGGAATCTTCAAGCATGATAATATTCTCTCCTCTCAGATATGATTAAGCTGACCTGACTACTGCATCTCTCTATGGGGTCTTGCCAGGACGTCATCTTTTATCTTATTTTCTGCATCACCAGTTGGGTATAAAAGGAGCTGTGACTTGCTGGTATAAGATATACGTTGCCTCCGTGGTGTCTTTGCGCACAGGAAGAGTTTTGCATTTCCCTTGGTGCAGCTATTTTGTGGTTATCGATTCTTTGCTGTCTTGTGAATTTACAGGACATTATTCCGGGGGGGGGGAGGGGACACGTGCCCCCAAGGTTTTGTTGATCTCTTAAGATAGAACAAAAATTAAAACAGCTCAATTCAGGTCTCAACAAAGATCATCTTTCTTATCACTAATCCCAAATAAGTGATATCACCTGTGAGCAGACAGCAAATCACAACATGTTGGTGGCCCAGTGTAACTGTAAGGATAGAAAATACTTGTCCCTGTTTTTAACTAACGTGTTATTCTGTGTTCACTACAGAGTATTGATTGAACTTCCTAAGAACTTAAGAACGGACTCAGACAGTATTTGTGAACCTACCTCTTTGAAGTTTGATTAGGTCGCGAAATTGAAAGTTTCGTGTTTCATAGTAGAATTAGGAACTACACTTTATTAATTTCATTTGAATCTAAGGGGGAGGAATTTTCCCAAATTTTAGATCTGTTTCTTTAAATTTTCGATTTCTGATTATCCCGTCCACTTGAACGTTCGCTCGCGCTCGACGTGAACAAAATATTTGGAGGTACAACATGCTTTCACGTGGCGGCAAAAAGCTGTAAGGGCGGCAAATGTTCTAAGCTAAAATAGATCAATCACCATTTGAACCTCCTGGTTGTCAACCTCCTGGTTGTCAACCTCCTGGTGCCAACCTCCTGGTTGTCAACCTCCCGGTTGTCAACCTCCTGGTGCCAACCTCCTGGTGCCAACCTCCCGGTTGTCAACCTCCTGGTGCCAACCTCCCGGTTGCCAACCTCCTGATGCCAACCTCCTGGTTGCCAACAGAACCTCCCGATCGTAAATATTTTGTAGTTTTATTGTTTAATAACATTTTAAATCCAATTGCGATTTTAACTCTTCGTGGCCATGATGCATGATATTTAAAAGTCGTATCAGTTTTCACTTTTGCATATTACGTTACGTTGTAAACGACTTAATGAATCCACCAACTAGTCATGATTTGGAGTAGGACTATGGTGCAGTGGTCACTCAACCATTTCTTGATTCGACTTTTTGTAGCGTAACTGTAAGGACATGATTCATACATATGAGTTCATGATAAAAATTCAGCGTTGGTTATTTGCTTTATTAATATTATCATTTTTAAGATCATTTTTAATGTCAATAATTATAGAACAACTTTCAATTTAGTAAATATCTGATTCGTTAAACCGTTCGTTCATCGTAGGAAAGAATCGCAAACTCAGAATAGATGTCGCACCAAGGCTACACGAGAAGTGACTCGAGTGATCTCCCAAGAACTCATCCACAATGCTGCCCCACCTGTAGGAAAGCACTTCTCCTAACCATGGTCAACTCTTTGGCGATCCTAATTGTCATCATATCTGCGGTGATATACCACATTTTCATTGGGGTTAACAACGCCCCTTGCTCGACATCCTATCCCCCCGATGCAACAGAAAATGATGCAGTAGCCGACTATGTTATTCAGAAACCCTCTCCAGAGAAAAAACAGTATACATCTGAAGGAGCCCCGCCGAGCATCCCTGAAGCAACAGATTTCATTGAACAATCCAGTACATTAGCATCGTTTCCGACTAGTTCCAGCATCGAGCCTACGAGTGCTTCCGACTTAGAGTCTGACGATTCTTCTCCAGGTAAAAAGTGGTAATTTTATGGAAATAATTTTCAGCTATCGTACTGTGCTCATACTAACGCATCAGTTTCAAAGTTGATGTTGAATATGTATGTAATTGAAATTTGTTGTTTTCCTTCATCTCATGGTGAGTGATTTCAGAAGCAGAAACTCCTCGGAGGAGAACGGACAGGGCGAGAAAAAGTAAGACTAAGAAAGACAAAAATAAGAATAAGAAAAACAAAAAGGCTGAGACATCTGAAGTTGCAGAAATCTCACCACAGTTGAAATTAATTGAGTGTGAGTACTACGATCACGATGACCGTGATGACACAAAATATATGTGTTACACAAACAAACACTTCGCGAACAGCACTTATCGGGTTATCGTTGGGATCAAACGGCATAACGGTATCATCACAGTTAAGTGCTGCGATTTAGTTCTTAACACGTGATAAAAACTAGTCCCCGGTCACTGATTTGATCGGGTATGTCGATGTTATTTGTGATATTGTATCCTTGTGGAGTGTGTGAGTGAGTTTAGATGATTATGCAATAAATATCCAAAGCGAAGAAGATGCAGTGGAGAAGGTGAATTTGAAAAACGATCGGTATGATCGATAAAGCCTTATTTGTATTATTATAGTATAGGTTTAACTGCATGAAAGATTTGATATTATGTACTAGATTGAAATATTAGATTGGCTCATTTTAAATTTTAATTATATTGCTTTATTTTGGTGCTCTGATAGGTTAAATTATTTTACTATGACAGATTGAAAATCACTCACATATTACCACATACATTTTTACGCAAAGATTGTTCGATTTAACACGTTCAACGTTGAAGGATCCTTCTTATTTAGCAATTGTGATATGATATGTGAGTAGATTCCAAAGCGAACTGGATAGAGCTCAATACTTTGCAAACCTTTATTTGAATTGGTTATTATTGCGATTGTTAGCACATGGGACTGGAAGATCTCGAGCAATTAATTTCTGCGTTAGCGAGATACTTGCTTTTAAATTTTGTGATATTTTATGTACACGTTAAATTGATTCGCACCCTTGAGTGACATGTCTCTTTTTATTGTTCAACCCCTTTATCACGAAAGTTAACCGGATTTTCTGAATCGAAAGTCGGCTGTCGGTCACGCTTATCTAAATTAGATAACAATGTTTTCTTCCCACCAGCTTATTTCCGATCGACATCGTCATAATTTGATTTCTTAACGACATAGGAGGACAGTTTCTAGGAAATCTGAAGTTGCAGGCAACGGTAGCTCATAGATAGAGATAAGAATTATGACGTTCGTCAGCGTGATACGATAACAGAATCTGGTGATGCAAGAACTTCTTAGCTTAAGCCTTAAAGATATTCAACTTAACTTTAATCAGCGATTTATCAAATGCCAGCTGGCTGATGGCTGTGAGTGCAGTATCTTACACACATAGCACGACAAATATAACATTGTTAGAGAAATTTCAGTTACTATCTATTTAAACGCAACGTTTGCTATTCATAATCATATACAGCTGTCGGCTGTCCAAAACGAGACGCTATTTTCAAGGCAGCATGCAGCAGTAACGTATACGGTAGCCAGATGCCGGTACTGCTCCTTTCTTTATCTTGTCAACTCCAGATCAGTATTAGGAGCCGATGGAATAAGTAATATTTACATTTCTTATCGGGTCGGAAAACAAATTCGAACGGCTACCTGAGCACGTGCAGCGGAGGTAATCAATTTAGTATATCAGAGGGCCCTAGCCCCTAGTAACGCTCCATTGCATATGTTCATATTATACGACATACTACACTATTATACACTTGACACTGCATCATGTAAAGGAAGAGTGTCAGCTCAGCTAGTTAGCATATGCTTAGATCATATCAAGCAATAATTTAATTTAATTTAATTTCAATTCGATATATGATTAAATTAGTATTATATATACAGCTTAGCTAGCTAGCTAGTATAGCTGCTTAAATTAGCTAGCTGCGCAATAATGGAGATGGTCAGTTTACTTAAATAGGAACGCGCCTTACATCTCAATTTAGAGAAGACCCTTTAATCGCTGTGCGACAGTTTCTGCGCCAACAATTTTGACAACGTTTCGAATTGATACCCATTAATGTTAAGTAAGGGCCCAATCTTATAAAATATCACTAATCTACATATTTCTGAATGTCAAAAAATGTATAAACAATCAATATCTAAGAATAAAAAACTTAAAAAAGAAATATATATATTTCTTTTTTCAAAAAATAGTATTTTCAAAATAAACATTTCAATCAAAAAACCCAACAATATTGTCAGACTTGTAAACGCAATCACCTCCAATAAAAGTAGCTAAAACGTTAACATCAGTATCAATAATAACAAAATCAGCGACCGTCCCAAAGTCCAGTGTTCCGTACAAATCCACACATTTCAGCAACTGTGCCGGGTGTTTTGTAGCACAATTAACCGCCTCAACCAAAGTACAACCAGAGTTCCTCATAAAGTTTTCAACACAAGAGTTCATAGTGGCCACACTTCCTGCCAGTGTCTCAGTCCCCGATATCACAGCTTTCTTTCCCGTCACAGTCACAGACTGAGAGCCAATACAATGTGACCCATCGCCTAACCCCATAGCAGCCATGGCATCAGTGACCAGCACAGCGCACGGTGCATTAGTTCTGTGTGCTATTCTCAGTGCAGCAGGGTGAGTGTGCAGACCATCAGCTATAATCCCGTAATAACACTTCCTGTTTAACTTTACACTAGATAATATGCCCACAATGCCGGGGTCCCTGTGGTGGAAGGGCTGCATTGCGTTGAACAGATGAGTAATGAAAGTAGCACCAGTGTTTACACCACCCTCTGCTTCATCTATATTTGCAGTGGAGTGGCCTATAGAGCATATCACATTGTTCTTTACAAGACACTCTATCATTTCCAGGGCCTTAGGAAGCTCAGGTGCTATTGTCATGATGGTAATATTGTTTATAGACCCGAAGAAGTCGATAATCTCATCTTTTGAGGACAGACATTGTGACTGAATGAACTCAGTTGGGTGAGCCCCGTTTTTGTCTTTGTTAATAAAAGGACCCTCCACGTGGGCCCCCAGCACCGCAGCACCTTGTACCAGGTTACCTCGCTGTTTCCTCAGCAGTGGCAGTGCTTTTTTGTAGACTTCACATGGAGACGTGATCATAGTTGGACAGAATCCTGTGATACCGAACTGTGTTATCTCCTTCCTGAACGACGCTAAACCCTCCTTTAAAGAGTCTACGTTAGACGAGAAATCCACACCAAACCCACCATTAATCTGAGATTCAATGAACCCTGGTACTATGATCTTACCCTGGCAGTCGAAAGTCCTGTCAGGGATCTTCCTGGAGTTCCAGAAATAGTTTTTAGGGTTAATGATGTGCCCATCAGCTACCCACAGGTCGTCGTCAAGGAGGGAGTCATCTCGGAGAACACGGCAATTTGTGTAGCGCGTAACCATGGACATACTGCACGGGGGGAATCATGTTTTATATAATGAGCTACTTGTAACAAAGGGTTTTATTACATCTGATCCTATAGGATGAGGTGATTTGTGCAAATTTTATTTCAAAGCCATCTGTAGCATAAATTTGTGCAGTGAAATATTTCTAGAACTTTGGGGGGGGGTCCAACCCGACGTTTCCGATCATTCCGATTCCGATTTTGGCCTCATCAACCCTCATATCGGAAAAATCGGGAAAATTTAAATTTTCCCTCTGAGCTTTCTAGGCGATATAAGTAGCTATTTCTGTACTTAAATATGACAAGAAATCGATTGGTGGTGGTCCCAGAACCCCAAAATTGTTTCTTGTTCCAAACAAGAATCGTTTCGTCCGAAAAATAACACACTGTCGTATCAACTCTTGTTCGACAGAAACATCCACCCCGGTCCAGAATTGAAAGAGGTACAGTTGGTAATAACAATCGTAACAAATAGCGAACGCTTTAGTAACTTTTGATTTAAATTGTCTCCACAATTTGTAACAGGCTATCTGCAGAAATGGGTAGCACGGTTAATGACCATGGTCCTTTCTCAAACTTCTAATCCTCAGTTAGATACAAAGAATAGTCTACACAATTTTTAATAACATTAAAAGGGATGAAAATCACTTTATTTATCAAAATCTTTATTTATCAAAAAAAATTCTCGAGCACATTTTGAGTCAGTAACAGTAACATGTCAATATGTTACAGACTCAAATGCGTTTAAAAACATTTTAGTAACAATACATTGTGTAAACTGATGAGGAGGAGGAGGAGGACTGAAGAAGAGGAGGACTGAGGAGGAGGAGGCTGAGGAGGAGGAGGACTGATGAGGAGGAGAAGGAGGAGGAGGACTGAGGAGGAAGACTGAGGAGGATGAGGACGAGGACTAAGGACGAGGACTAGGAGGATGATAACGAGGGCTAAGGAAGAGGACTGATTAGGAGAAGGAAAGGGAGAAGGAGGAGAATGAGGAGGACTGAGGAGTAGGACTGAGGAGGAGGAGGAGAACTAAGGAGGCGGATGAAGAGGAGAAGACTGATGAGGAGGAAGAGGAGGACTGAGGAGGAAGACTGAGGATGATGAGGAGGAAGACTGAGGAGGATGAGGAGGAGGACTAAGGACTAGGAGGATGAGGACAAGGGCTAAGGAAAAGGAGGAGGACGACTGAGGAGGAAGACTGATTAGGAGGAGAAGGAAGAGGAGAAGGAGGAGGAGGAGGATGAGGAGGAGGAGGATAAGGAGGAGAATGAGGATGAGGAGGACTGAGGTGGAGGAGGATAAGGATAAGAATGAGGAGGAGGAGGAGGTGGATGACTCAGGAGGACGACTCAGGAGGTGGAGGAGGATGAGGATTGAGGAGGAGGACTCAGGGGGAGGACTGAAGAGGAGTAGGAGGACTGATGAGGAGGAGGAGGACTCCAGGAGGACGAGTGCGAGATCGAGGAGGAGGACTGAGGAGGAGGACTGATAAGAAGGAGGAGGAGGAGGAGGACTGAGCAGGAGGACTGAGCAGGAGGAGAAGGAGAAAGAGAACTGGGGGAGGACTGAGGAAGAGGAGGACTTAGGGAGGACTGAGGAGGAGGAGGACTGGGGGAGGACTGAGGAGGATGATGAGGAGGACTGAGGATGAGAAGGAGGAGAAGGAGGACTGACGAGTAGGAGGAGGACGGGGGCTAAGGAGGAGGAGGACTGAGGAGGAAGAGGATGAGGACTGAGGAAGAGGACTGAGGAGGATGAGGAGGAGGAGGAGGACTGAGGAGCAGGACTGAGGAGGGGGAGGACTAAGGAGGAAGACTGAGGAGGATGAGGACGAGGACTAAGGACGAGGACTAGGAGGATGATATCGAGGGCTAGAAGGAAGAGGACTGATTAGGAAAAGGAAAAGGAGAAGGAGGAGGAGAGGGAGGAGAAGGACTGAGGAGGAGGTAGATAAGGAGGAGAATGAGGAGGAGGAGGAGGACTGAGGAGGAGGATAAGGAGGAGATTGAGGAGGAGGAGGAGGACTCAGGAGGAGGACTCAGGAGGTGGAGGAGGATGAGGAGGTGGACTCAGGAGGAGGACTGCAGAGGAGGAGGAGGACTGCAGAGGAGGAGGACTCAGGAGGAGGAAGAGGAGGAGGAGGACTAAGGACGAGGACGAGGACAACTAGTGGAGGACTGATGATGAGGACTGATGAGGAGGAGTAGGAGGAGGACTTAGGAGTAGGATAAGGAGGAGGAGGAGAACTAAGGAGGACTGAAGAGGAGGAGACTGAGGAGGAGGGGGAGGACTGTTGAGGAGGAGGACTGTTGAGGAGGAGGATGACGAGGAGGAGGACTGAGGAGGACTGAGGAGGAAGACTGAGGAGGACTGATTAGGAGGAGAAAAAAGAGGAGGAGAAGGAGGACGAGAATGAGGAGGACGAGGATGAGGACGAGGAGAAGGAGGAGGAGAAGGAGGAGGAGGACTGAGGAGGATGAAGACGAGGACTAAGGACGAGGACTAGGAGGATGATAACGAGGGCTAAGGAAGAGGACTGATTAGGAGGAGAAGGAAAAGGAGAAGGAGGAGGAGAAGGAGGAGGACTGAGGAGGAGGAGGATAAGGAGGAGAATGAGGAGAAGGAGGAGGACTGAGAAGGAGTAGGATAAGGAGGATATTGAGGAGGAGGAGGAGGAGGAAGAGGAGGATGACTCAGAAGGACTCAGGAGGTGGATGAGGATGAGGAGGTGGACTCAGGAGGAGGACTGAAGAGGAGGAGGAGGACTGATGAGGAGGAGGAGGAGGAGGAGGACTCAGGAGGACTCAGGAGGAGGAAAAGGAGGAGGACTAAGGACGAGGACAACTAGTGGAGGACTGAGGATGAGGACTGATGAAGGAGGACTTAGGAGTAGGAGAAGGAGGTGGAGGACTGAGGAGGACTGGGGAGGAGGATGAGGAGACTGAGGAGGAGGAGGAGGACTGTTGAGGAGGAGGACTGAGGAGGAGGACTGATAAGAAGGAGGAGGAGGAGGAGGACTGAGCAGGAGGACTGAGCAGGAGGAGAAGGAGAAAGAGAACTGGGGGAGGACTGAGGAAGAGGAGGACTTAGGGAGGACTGAGGAGGAGGAGGACTGGGGGAGGACTGAGGAGGATGATGAGGAGGACTGAGGATGAGAAGGAGGAGAAGGAGGACTGACGAGTAGGAGGAGGACGGGGGCTAAGGAGGAGGAGGACTGAGGAGGAAGAGGATGAGGACTGAGGAAGAGGACTGAGGAGGATGAGGAGGAGGAGGAGGACTGAGGAGCAGGACTGAGGAGGGGGAGGACTAAGGAGGAAGACTGAGGAGGATGAGGACGAGGACTAAGGACGAGGACTAGGAGGATGATATCGAGGGCTAGAAGGAAGAGGACTGATTAGGAAAAGGAAAAGGAGAAGGAGGAGGAGAGGGAGGAGAAGGACTGAGGAGGAGGTAGATAAGGAGGAGAATGAGGAGGAGGAGGAGGACTGAGGAGGAGGATAAGGAGGAGATTGAGGAGGAGGAGGAGGACTCAGGAGGAGGACTCAGGAGGTGGAGGAGGATGAGGAGGTGGACTCAGGAGGAGGACTGCAGAGGAGGAGGAGGACTGCAGAGGAGGAGGACTCAGGAGGAGGAAGAGGAGGAGGAGGACTAAGGACGAGGACGAGGACAACTAGTGGAGGACTGATGATGAGGACTGATGAGGAGGAGTAGGAGGAGGACTTAGGAGTAGGATAAGGAGGAGGAGGAGAACTAAGGAGGACTGAAGAGGAGGAGACTGAGGAGGAGGGGGAGGACTGTTGAGGAGGAGGACTGTTGAGGAGGAGGATGACGAGGAGGAGGACTGAGGAGGACTGAGGAGGAAGACTGAGGAGGACTGATTAGGAGGAGAAAAAAGAGGAGGAGAAGGAGGACGAGAATGAGGAGGACGAGGATGAGGACGAGGAGAAGGAGGAGGAGAAGGAGGAGGAGGACTGAGGAGGATGAGGACGAGGACTAAGGACGAGGACTAGGAGGATGATAACGAGGGCTAAGGAAGAGGACTGATTAGGAGGAGAAGGAAAAGGAGAAGGAGGAGGAGAAGGAGGAGGACTGAGGAGGAGGAGGATAAGGAGGAGAATGAGGAGAAGGAGGAGGACTGAGAAGGAGTAGGATAAGGAGGATATTGAGGAGGAGGAGGAGGAGGAAGAGGAGGATGACTCAGAAGGACTCAGGAGGTGGATGAGGATGAGGAGGTGGACTCAGGAGGAGGACTGAAGAGGAGGAGGAGGACTGATGAGGAGGAGGAGGAGGAGGAGGACTCAGGAGGACTCAGGAGGAGGAAAAGGAGGAGGACTAAGGACGAGGACAACTAGTGGAGGACTGAGGATGAGGACTGATGAAGGAGGACTTAGGAGTAGGAGAAGGAGGTGGAGGACTGAGGAGGACTGGGGAGGAGGATGAGGAGACTGAGGAGGAGGAGGAGGACTGTTGAGGAGGAGGATGATGAGGAGGATGATGAGGAGGATGATAAGGAGGAGGAGGACTGAGGAGGATGAGGACGAGGACTAAGGACGAGGACTAGGAGGATGATAACGAGGGCTAAGGAAGAGGACTGATTAGGAGGAGAAGGAAAAGGAGAAGGAGGAGGAGAAGGAGGAGGACTGAGGAGGAGGAGGATAAGGAGGAGAATGAGGAGAAGGAGGAGGACTGAGAAGGAGTAGGATAAGGAGGATATTGAGGAGGAGGAGGAGGAGGAAGAGGAGGATGACTCAGAAGGACTCAGGAGGTGGATGAGGATGAGGAGGTGGACTCAGGAGGAGGACTGAAGAGGAGGAGGAGGACTGATGAGGAGGAGGAGGAGGAGGAGGACTCAGGAGGACTCAGGAGGAGGAAAAGGAGGAGGACTAAGGACGAGGACAACTAGTGGAGGACTGAGGATGAGGACTGATGAAGGAGGACTTAGGAGTAGGAGAAGGAGGTGGAGGACTGAGGAGGACTGGGGAGGAGGATGAGGAGACTGAGGAGGAGGAGGAGGACTGTTGAGGAGGAGGATGATGAGGAGGATGATGAGGAGGATGATAAGGAGGAGGACTGAGGAGGACTGAGGAGGAAGACTGAGGAGGACGAGAAAAGGACGAGGACTAAGGACGAGGAGGACCGATTAGGAGGAAAAGAAAGAGGAGAAGGAGAAGGAGAAGGAGGATGAGGAGGAGGACTGGGAGAGGACTGAGGAGGAGGATAAGGACGAGGATAAGGACGATTATGAGGAGGACAGAGGATGAGGACTGATGAGGAGGAGAAGGAGGAGGAGGAGGACTGGGGAGGACTGAGGAGGAAGAGGAGGATGACTGAGGAGGAGGTTGAGGAGGGGGACTCAGGAGGAGGACTCAGGAGGTGGAGGAGGATGAGGAGGAGGACTCAGGAGGAGGAGGACGACTAAGAGGAGGACTGAGGAGGAGGAGGATGAGGAGGAGAAGTGAGGAGGAGGAGGAGGATGAGGAGGAGGAGGAGGAGGAGAAGGGAACTGAGGAGGAGGGTGAGGAGGGTGAGGAGATCTAAGGAGAAGGAGGAGGACGAGGAGTCAGGAAGAGGACTGAAGAGGACTGAGGAGGAGAAAGTCTCAGGAGGAGGAGGAAGACTTAGGAGGAGGAGGAGGACTGATAAGAAGGAGGAGGAAGACTAGGGAGGAGGAGGACATCTAAATGTTCTGTCTGTTTTTGTCCGCCCTACTTTTTGTCCGTTTTGAAAATATACCGAACGGACACAAAACATGATCCCCCAGCCAAGCATGTGTTACGATACAAATGTACTTGACTATACATTTAAGGTGCAGTGTACTAGTGATATTATGGTATGTTTTAAGACTGGACCAAAAAATATAACCCGGTACCTAGTGTTGTACTAATACATGATAATAACAAGTAACATGGATAGAATCAATGAGCAGAAACAATCGATCTCACAAGAGACCAAAGCACTCGGGTCTGGGAGTACATTGCATGATAACTCCAACTAGTAGTGAGCATACTAGCGCCCCTGCAGTGGAAATACACATAAAACATACTATTGGAATGTCCAATTGGTTCGTTTTCATATAGCATACATAGCATATGTAGGGGTTCTGGTTAAATTATATCACTTCTGAGAGCTTTTAGAGATTGATTCAGTAAATTTCTCAATTTTCCGATTTTTCCGATTTTTCCGATTCCGATTTTGGCCTCATCAACCCTCATATCGGACATCGGGTTGGACCCCCCCCCCCCCCCCCCCCCCCAACTTTCCAGTTTCTATATTTTTTGGTTGAACTTACTCGATGCTTCCTGACCATAATTCGACTAATTTCGTTGACGAGCACAGTAAAATAAAACGATGAAATTGTATTTCTATTGTGGTTTCAATCAACTTTAACTGCATTAAAGAGTTAACATTAAAGAGTTCCTCAGAGTATAATTAAACTAAGATATCTAACCACCTTATTCAAATATCCTAAAACCTATTCAAATACAAAGCAAAATGGTAATAGTAGAATCAGTGCTTAGCTCGTTTTTTTCCCAATATTCACATCTATGACCCATATACAAATTCTCCACCAAAAATATGACTATAATTGAAAAGCGAAAGCATAACTATAAAGCTGAAAACAAAACAGGACATGCCAATCTATAATAGAAATGAGTGAGTTGTGCTACCTGCACGGCGTTATCGAATCATAATGTTCTCCCAAACCGTACTTATGTTTATAATAAAGCAGGATAACTGGCTCCTGCACGTACCCCTCACCAAAAACAATAGGAGGTACATCCGCCTGAAGTATTTTGATGGGTACTTTAAGTGATGAGCTGATAGCGTGAGCCTCGTGCATCCCACCCCACACCCCATCAGTTTTAATCTCCCGACAGTAAGTAGCAAACTCCTCCAAACTCAACATGTCTCCCGTTTTAGGGTGCACTAAGTAGGGTAAAAAGTCGTCCTGGTGTTGGGTCATGTAGTTGGCAGCAGTCTCGCGTAGATCGTTCACACTTTGTGGTAACCCCCGGTCTTGTAGCTGGTGCTGTAGCGCGTAGAACATACAGTTACCGTCTGCTGCTATCTCGTACACTGATAAATTATAAGATTTGAGGTGCTCTGTGATCTTGAGGTGTTCGGTGGAGCGCTTGGTTACTTCAGAGCTCAGTTCAGAGATCTGCTCTAGTTTCTTTTGGGTTGCTGCAGCTTTAGCTTCTCTTCTTTTCTCTGATTTACTCATCTTCTTTACAGACTCATCGTGTTGTTCTCCCACAACACCAGCTTTGTGGCCTTCTTCTAAATTTATATGTTCAACTTCATTTGACAAAGATTCAAGTTCTTTCAGCTCCCGCTCATGTCTATCAGATAGCTCTTTCTGCAGTAACGCGATTTCTTCGACTGATTTTTTCTTTGCTTTCTTGTCTCCTTTTGGAACTGACTTTTTAACAGCTTGGATCTTTGCTTGTAGCTCTTTTAACTCTCTCCGATGTCTGTCCTTTAGTCCCCCCTCATTCATTTAATACACCTGGAATATTACTTATCATTTACTGACTACTGGATCGTAGGTGTAGCAGTTACATTATTTCCAAAGCTTTGGTTTAAACTTACTCATTCAGTATGATATGTTCACTGCGTCTTAAGTTGTACATTCAAATTTCAAAATCATCTATTTACTTTTTAAAGTCAATTTTGGGAAACATCAGACTAATAAATAAAAATAAAACAAATTGACATAATTGAATACGCTTTTAATGGATATAACTTCAAACTTCCAATTTGCACTTTGGGGATCATATTATAGAATTCGTCTACTATAAAAAACTTATTGGTGTCTACTTACATGAGGACTAATGGGTTCTAATAGTCGAATTAAGAAGACAGACTATATATAAGGACTAATGCTTAGAACATCCGCTAGCAAACCAATCAGACCTCATTTTATAAAATAGCTATCATAGCTACATTATGTTAATGTTATGTTAATGTTAGGAGAATGATGATGGATGAACTAAAATTATGCAAAATATGTATCAAGGACAAGAGGAAACAACATTGTTGCACATCTTCAGTTTATACACAACTACTGGACAGATGCCTTTATGGACTTGGCATTGTATGCCACAGGAACTGAAGCTCATTAATCCAGAATATTTGAATATCTATTGTTAACTATCGATCCATCATTCTTCAATCTTCATATCAACACAAACAAAATATAAGAATCCCCAAAATGCGTAGATACGAAGTTCAAATGTCAATTTTTCCATAAAGAGCAATGCAGAATAACCATTACTCAGCATTAAAAATCTTTACTGCAATATAACAATAATTTCTATTGGTCAGCAAAAACTTTAAAACTTTGATCTATCGTCTGCAGATCAATAGAAATCAAATAAAACTGTTAACCATACACAATACATGCATTGTGCAATATAAGTTGTAGCTACTAGGAGCACTTGTGCTAATTTTGGACTGGTACTCAAAAACAACAATTAAACCATTTTCATCGAATGGAAGAACCTAGATTAAATTACAGGGGAATGATTAAGCTGAAACAGGAAATACGTTTGTCTCGTAAATAAATAAAAGAACTATTTATTTTATATGATTTAATCACCCTCAGTTCAATTAAAATTTATCCATTTGAAAATGTGATTGCTTCAGATTTATCCCTTTCTTGTTTGTTATCTGAGCTTTACATGATATTGTAAACAAAAAAATGTTTTGTACAGATCATCAGAAAATCCAGGTAAACTTCTCTGATGAGATTATTTTTTCCGGAAATTCTTCAAGATGGGATAAATACATTCAAATGCAGCATTTATATCTTGTCTGTCTTTTGCTCCCGTTAGTACAACTTTTCCCGACACGAATATCAGGAGAACAATCTTTGGTCTCAACATTCTGTAAATAAGCCCAGGAAATAACTCAGGCTCATAATGAGAAAACTGTCCATGTTGTGCATATAGCCCTTCAAGTCTAATTGGAAATTTAACATCACAACTGCCTACCATATTCTGAATTTTAAACTCGGTGAATTTGGCAGGGAAACCTAATTTCTGAACAACCCTCGCATATTTTCGGGCAGCAAGTCTGGATTCGTCTTCACTCTTGGCCCCTGTACAGACCATCTTGCCACTATTGAACAATAACGCAGTGGTCCGCGGCTCTCTTATCCTCATTATCACTGCTGCAAATCGTTTTGGATTGTACTCAGCATTCCTTGCATGCAGCGCAATCTGCTTGAGATCAAGTCTACAGCCCAAGTTGACTGTAGAGACAATGTTCTGAATGGTGGGTTCTATACCGTGGTCCATAGGTGTGGAGGGAGTGAAAGCTGCGGGAGAGTTGAGACCATAGTAGGAAGGTCCAGGTGTGGGTACAGACTGGAGGTCAGCCAAGGAAGGGGCAGACAAACTGACACTGGGTGGTCCTTCGTACTCACTCATCTTTACCTTCCTGAACAAATATCACATTAAATTTATATTACACTTTAGAGCGTGTGGTCACAGGGAGTATCATATTAGATACAGCTAATAGTAATACTTTGATAGCCAGTTTCAATCGCATCAAAATATCCATCCCAACTGAGGTTACAATTGATTAAAAATCACGCACTTAATTTGGGGTATTCCTGTACTGGGCAATTTCCTAACTATAACTTAAAAGTGGCATGTGGGTGGTACAAAAAACAGAATGAAACATAGTATAAGTGATCAAAGGAAGAAAGACTTCATGAAAATATTCATATGAGTGGATTATTACTGCTCTACACTATACAAGCAAAGCTTGGTGTCCCTTCTACCATGAAGAATATGAAAGTTTGTTGACCACATCTATCAAATCGAATCAAAACATGATGGTACATAAGATCATCAAAAATGTTAGTAAGGGCCAGGGGTCCTTCACACATTACGTAATCAATATTTTAGCAATTTTTACCCCCCTCCGTAATCAACTGTAATCAAGTATAAATTTTGTAGGTACAAAAATCAATCCAATTCCAAAAGTAATGTTACAATTTTTTAACATTTGCTCCCATGCTAACATGAAGTCTACTCAATCAGATAAAGACTCATATCAATATTCTAGATTATAAGGTGTAATGTAGTGGTGTACAGCTGGTAGAGCTTACAAACATTAACATAACAAGAAGGTTGGAAAAATAAGTTATCATGAGATCAGGAACAGAATATTAATTCTGCAGCTGATAATTACAGTCCTCTTTGTTACTGGAGGAACCTCAACTTGGTAAACAAGTACACTTCTAGTTTTCTAGAACAAAACTTGTCTTGTCTACAAACCAACAATGAGATCACAAGCATTAACTATCACTTATAATCTCAACTCTTATTTTACTTCGGACATTCCAACAGCCACATTGTTACACAAGTGTGTAACCAGCCAATTACAGGAAGCCGAAGGATTCAATTATACATTAGGCCAGTGACGGTTAAGGTAGTGTGTACCATACTTTCTTCGCCCGAGACTTTGCTGCAATGGGCAGCTCCTCATTTAACCCTCACACCCGATTTCTCGAGTATTTGGCTGAGTGGACCGGGGGGCTGCATAGACCACTCAGGATCCTTAGCTGAGCGTCGACGACGCTCACCCCACGGCTAGTGGCAGAGTCGGGAATCGAACCTGGTACCTCAAGCAATACCAGGCCCGGATTAACCAACTGAGCCACTAAGCCGTTGAAATATAATAAATACAACATTTATAAACCGCCTTATAGCTAAATCATATAACTCGATATAATTTAATCCTGGAGATAAACTCCAGTGCTTTCTAAAGCGGCTCTTACATTAACTGAGCTTAGTTTAATTGAAAATTAGACATGACAAGTTCATTTTACCTATGTAAATGCAAAATCAATCAAATTTACTATTATACATAACTTGAAAGTTGTTTGATTCAAAATCAATTTTAAGATAGTTTCTCTCCCAGACGTATATATCTTTATGAGCATCTTTAACATGAAGGCAACCTAACCACGTTATTGGCAATAGTTCGTTATTAATGTCACTAATAAAAACATGCATTTTCTCTGCTCTTATCTCATCATGAAAGTGCACAGTTTCACCCAGGTAATCTTCTTTATCAGTACACAGTCTCAAGGTCCACAATGCGGCTTCACTGGGGACTGTTTTTAGAATAAACCCACATTTACCAGTTAAACTACAAGATGTTACTGACGGGTGTTGGAAGTGGAAGATCATCTTGGAGTCTCTACAGTGTATTGAACTCAGTGGGTTTGTACACCATTTAATACAGGGAATTACGGTAACGTATGAGGTATCCTGTTTATTAGCTGTACAGAATTGTTTTAAACTATACCTCCCCTGTTCACCTTCGTTATTCTTTAGACCTAAATCATACTCATAATACGTGAAGTAGGACGGTAAAAGAGACCAGCCTCGCCTTTCTACTAGGTCTGTTAGTCTAGCAGACAAAGCAGAAAAGTCAACATTGCAACTCTTCTTATTGATCTTTCTACAATAATAGTACCGGTATCTGTTCCATGTGTACACAGCTTCTATAGCCATCATCAAACTGGTAACATCCTCAGACACAGACAGCCAGTCAAGCAACAGATTAAATGACATGTTCATATCCATATCATGGTACAAGTTCGGTATAATGTTACATCTAGATACTGTTGTTGAGCTGGATCCTCTTAATTCATCAGAACTATGAGCCAACTCAGTTCTATTTTTACAACTTTTGCGATGAAGCTCAAAAGTCCATCTTATTCTTTCGTCTGGAAGCTCCCCAAGAATATCAAATAAGTGGTCAAACAAAACTTCATCAGACTTTTTACAGAGAAACAAATTAGAATTTTCCAGAAAATACTGACAAGAAACAGAAAGACTTGAACCCTGAACTTTTAACTGTTCTGATAACTGATTAGTTAGAGTTTGTACAACACAGTTAACTTCAGAACCAGCTAGCTCTATCACCATGTCTAGTTTCTGTGTAGATAACTTGTCTGCATTCTCAAGATACCTGTCTATAAACTCCTTTTTCCACTTCATTATTTCAATCTTTTTGATGGTAAGATTTAGATAATCTTTTATCTTCAGCTTCTCATAAACAAAACCTGCCTCTTCAAATAAATAAAGCAGTTCTGTATAAGACGGTGTTTTAACCGAGTCAGCTACTTCAGTGAAATATTCAGCACACTTTTCAGCTAACCAAGACAATTCAAACACATTTGCTATCTTATTGATATCCCTGAAGAGTTCCTTGGTTATCCCCTCTGCAGTTCCAGAGTAAGCAGCATCAACAAGCAGCTGAACAGCAGCTTTACTGAACTCCAACATGTCCACACTGGTCATGTGAAGGATGGTTGTCATGTGATCAATGACGGGGCTGTTGAAGGATAGGATCACTGAACTGGCTCGTACCTCACCTCCTTCACTTGTGTTTAGTTTTAGGTTGCTGTGAGTCGGGGATCCTATCAGGTGCCTTCCAAAATCCATCGGGACACTCACTTTAAGTAACATAATAATAATAATAAATAAATACAACATTTATAAACCGCCTTATAGCTGAATCATATAACTCGATATAATTTAATCCTGGAGATAAACTCCAGTGCTTTCTAAAGCGGCTCTTACATTAACTGAGCTTAGTTTAATTGAAAATTAGACATGACAAGTTCATTTTACCTATGTAAATGCAAAATCAATCAAATGCTAGAGAAAAGAAGTATGTTTTAAGTTTGGTCTTGAAAGATGTAACTGACTCAGCTGATCTTATGTCGTATGGCAAGGAATTAAATACTGTAACTGCACAGTGACTAAAAGCTTTCTCTGTGTTTACATAGTTAGGAGAGGGCGGAAAACTAAGGTAAAAATAATCATTATCAAGACGTACATTTTTAAAACTTTGCTGCCTAGGAAATATCAACTCTTTTAAGTAAGGAGGAGCTATATTATTTAAACACTTGTAGGCAAGTAGGGCAATCTTAAAATCTATTCTAAATCTAACTGGTAGAAAATGAACTTTCTTAAGTAGTGGAGTAGTGTGTGCCTTTCTTCCTCTCCCGAAAATAAATCTTACAGCAGAATTTTGCACCTTCTGTAAACGACTTAAATCATAAGAGCTCAGTCCAAAATATACGCTATTGCAATAATCAATTCTAGAGAGTACTAGAGCATGAACAAGCTGAATCTTAAGGTTAAAAGACAGTTTTGATGCAATAAACCACAAATTTCTGATCTGAATATTACATGCTTGAACCACTGACGTAATCTGATCACTCATTGAAAGATAACTGTCCAAATACAGCCCAAGACTCTTCACAGTTCCACTAACAACATGTGGCTCTTGATCCTTAACAATCTGTAGAGAGGCTGGAATATTTGTTGAGTCAAATTTAGAGGATATAACGATGACTTCAGTCTTAGAAGAATTCAGTTGAAGGAAATTGTTTGTCATCCATTTCTTGATATCAGACATACAGTGTTCCATATTGTGCTCTAGCTGTGATGGGTCATCAGAATCAAGAGTGAAATACAGCTGGGTGTCATCAGCATACAAATGAATACAGCACCCATGCATACTTGCAATGTTCTCAAGATCTTTGGTGTACAATATGAATAGCAGGGGGCCAAGGATTGAACCTTGTGGCACACCTATCTCAAGAACAGTTGCTGAGGAAGACGAATCCTTGACTTTGACACAAAATGAACGGTTAGCCAAGTAGGACCTGATCCATGTAAGAGCAATGCCTGTAATGCCATAAGCAGATCTTAGCTTCTTGATTAATCTTGGGTGATTGACAGTATCAAAGGCAGCACTCAAATCTAGAAGTAAAAGAACAACTTTAGTTTTCTTGTCAATAGTTATCAAGATGTCGTTATGGATTCTGGTTGTTGCAGTTTCACAGCTATGAAACTTCCTATAGCCGGACTGAACTTTAGAAAGCAAGTTGTTATCCCAGTGGAATAAATTTTAAATATGACTAGGAATCCATTTTGGGAAGAAAAAAAGGCTATATATTTTTCGGCCGCTTTGCGGCCGACTTGTCACTGGTCAGCTCTTCTCCCAGGTCAAGATTAGTTTGAAATGCTTAGCGTATCCATTAGAATAATTACCGGATGAATATGCAATTGCAAATTTTGAAATTAAATAAAAAATTTCTGAGAATTCTTTAATTTATTTGAAACGCAAGGAAATATTTTTTAAAAGAAGTATAGAGCCTAGCCCACAGAAATCTCCTTACTATTCTTCATACATAATCGGTGGATCGAGGTTCAAAGATTAGACTCTCATCAGCATGATGAACGATTCGCTACTCTGAAAGTGGCATCGACCTTGTGTCGATATTTATGGCCTGACTTAGGATCTGAAGCTTGCTTCTGCCAGGTTAGATACAATATTGGACAATAAACAATGATAAACTTCGGACTTAAAGCGGGATAGGGATGTATAATGGAGG